TCCATACAGTCCGTACCGTCCATATAGACCATACGGTCCATATAGACCATACAGTCCATACAGACCATACAGTCCATACTGTCCTGTTTTTGGTACATAAAATCACACAAAAACAAAAATCAAATACAACCAAAAATCAAATACAACAAAAAGAGTATTGGGCCTTTAAGACAAAGCTTTAATACGCATGTAACTATAACAAATGCTGTGCTGAGCTGTTGTTATAGTAGTTTATTGTTAGAACCACATTAAAACAGCTCGTATTTAATGTTTTGTCAGTTTTGTCTTTGTCAACAGCTTCTGCCATTTGTTCTCTTGCCCACCAGGGGGGTCTGAGTCACGAGAGGATGGTTAAAAAAAAAGAGACAAAAAGTGTAAGAGCAGTGTGTAGGTAGCACCACCAGGGGGCATCAGATATCAGCCCAAAAGTTAACTGAGGCTGGAGCTCATTCATGGATACATGACAGCTTTTGAGCTTTTGACCAGAAAACATACTTAAAATCACTTTTTATGTTACACATATGAGGAGTTTGTGTTGGTAACTAAAGAGAGGCCCGAAAATTAAAGGGGAATTCAGAAATTTCGAAAAAGCAGTTTAACAAAGGGACAAAAACAGTAATAATAGGCCCAATCCCGTTCCTTATTTTTACCCCTACCCCTTGTTTTCGAGTGTCTCCTTGCCCCTTGGAACTTATTTACAAGATGTAGTGGTTGAAATCTTCTCCTCTGAAATGGGACCCTCAGATAAAAAGAGCATTACTTCATTAACAGCTACCAGCGCTGCTCTGTAGGCGACCCTGCCAGTCTGCAGTGACAGCAGAGGAGGGTAAAGTTCAGCTCCTCACTGCTGGGCTTTAGTTACATTTAGGGCATCATATGCCTTCAAAGAGGGGGGCAATTATTTATTATCACCCACCCCTAATTCTTCAGTGATATGAAGCTGAAGTCAGATATTCACAGCTTCTTGTTCGAATTTTCCCGTTCCACCTTAAATGGAGCAGCAGTTGTGACGCCTGAGGCACCAAAATGTAACTGCTGGACCAGGAAATTTAGCTAGCTAGCTACTGACACATTAGCATACTATTAGCGATTTTTTTTATGCTTGTTATGAAGAAAAGGACCATAATACACTGAAACGACATGAAACTAAGATAATACAGTGATTATCATGATTTTTAACTGAGAAAATTCTCATATTTGTGTGTTTCTTTGGTCTCTTGTTCAGCCATCTTACCTGTTTTTCCTTACTCTATTTGGAGTGTCGCTCTGAAAAACCTCCATTTGGAGCGTCATGCAGTCCTAACACTTCACCATTGTGGTCCACTGTCACATTTGTAAGAGCTAACATGACCACTACAGCATGTAGCATATTTAGGCCAGGATATTTAATAAAAGGCCTAATTATGTATGTCTGTTGATGATTCTGCTGAACTGGCTCAAAGTCAGGGTTGCAAACACATTTCAGATTTTTATCTGCCTTTACTTTAGACTAAAATCCTTTTTAAAATCCTTTGCTATGAGTGACTCTGTACCTTAATTATGTTTATCTTATGAAAACAAATGATTGAACATTCCACTTTGTCACTAAAACAACAGTCATAACACTACCCAACTTTACCAAATGTTTCAGTAGTGACAATTTTAGCTCATTTTGAGCTCGAGAATGCAGCCGGTACATGACCAGCAAACACAGCTTAGAAGAGCTGTGCACAGAAAATTATAATATCTTTTATTAAAACACAAATGTTTACTTAGAAAATATGTGTTTCGGTAGTGACAATTGTTGTCATTGTTGTTCCACACTGATTTTCATACTTTGGGACACATTTACTTCAAAACAATGGGATCTAACTGCTCAACATGTGGTCATGAGGGACAGGGATGCAGCCTCCTACCTGCTCTCAAATGCAGGGGGCTTGGCTAAAATAAGGCCTTATGGAGATGAGAATGACCACTCTGCAATGTCTTCTGGGTTTCTCAGACGCTAGAGGGCGCTCCTGAGCGAGTCCAAAATTAATGGGTTAAGATGGAGCATTTGAGCAAAATCATAGTTTATAAATGCTGAAACATTTTTAATGTAAAAGAATACGTTAATTTCCTGAACACAGCACAGCATAAAACATTTTAACACTGCTGTTATATTTTTAAGAGCTTTTAAACTCGAGTTATAGGAGTTTAAAACGGTGCCTCCTGTACATCCATGACGCCTGTGAGCGCGAACAGCCAGTGAGCTGCTCCGCTCGCCAGCCAATCAGCACTCAGTAGCAGTAATGCCAGTGTTCCGCTGCCCAAATCCCCTTTGCTGTAGAAAAAAGGAAACATACAGGTGAGTTTTCTTTGCTTTTTTAATGAAATACATCCTTCTACTTTCTAAAATTGAAGGAAAGTTCTGGGCGAGTGATTAGAAACTATTTTAACTTTTCATTTTTAGCTGTTGAGCTCCATTTACTCCTATTCATTTTGATATAATGGGGGAAATAGGAAGAGGCCACGCTCCTCATAAACCGGCTCTGCCCCCGCCTACAGACTAAAACTCTCTGTGTTTCTGTAGTAGCATGAAAATGTGGGACTACATGGCTCAACAAAGTTTTTTTTTTTTAAGGTAGAATATTTTTTATAGGTAGAATAGTCTGTACAAGATGTATACAGGTACCAACATTAGGCAACCATATTTACCATATTGATGGTACCATACTGATGGATATCTATGCGCAATCAGGGATGGATTATGGTCTTTGGAGGCCCCCATCCCTACACTCATCCCTCCAACGCTACAACAATGCCCCCCCAAAAAAGGACTTGAAAAAGAACTTTAATAAGCAGCTTGTTTGTTTATGTGCACTTTGAACAGTGCTTGAAAAAGATGAAACAGCCTGTTATTTCCTGCACAGTTATAGATCTGCACATCTTTGATGTTACCACTTTTAATCATTTCAAATACTGTATCAGGGTACGGGCCGAGGGGCCTTTATTTCATTTATTTCACGGCAACCATCGAATAGCAAGAGATCCTTGTGGTCTGAGGCCCTCTGAGGCCCACTGAGGCCCCTGGGAGTCAGAGGCCCCTGGGCCCTGGCCACACTCGGCCCGTCTGTAATCCACCCTTGTGTGAGGTGAAGAGAACCTGCAGACAGTTTCTGTCAGAAAGCTTGAAAAAGTGTAGATCGTTCATTTTTAGGCCTCCAGGCTTTATATCACTAAGCTAGTGTTTGGAATAGTGTTGTGTTGTGACCTAATTCAACAAAATCCTACCTTTCATCACTGTTCAGAAAACCAGAACAGTCAGCGGAAAGAGAGAGAGCAGGGAGGAAGGGTTCCAGAGCATGGAACAAACTTCTTCTAAAGCCAGTTTAGATGATTGGTATTATTTGAGCCAATGTTTTGGTAGAAATATTTAGTAGCTCTACTGCAGACTTTACTGTCCTGCCAGTAGGTTAGAATAAATTAGCCTAAAGCCCTGACCCACTTTAATAAAAATAAAACAGTGCTTAACTGTGTTCCAGCGTGTATAATATCCAAATAAATCTACATTTAGTCCAGTTTTACCATCTCTGCATGAAGCGTTTTGCAAAAAAATTCCACTTTTGCTTGTTTCTCTGAAAGAGTTTGATGCAGTATGTAAAAACTGCTAAAGTTCCAAAACCCATCGTTCACTACCCGTCCTTACAGACCACATATGGAAATGAAGCTGCCCATATTGTATTCAATGTTTTTGTGATGTCACAAAAACCAACACATTCACAATCACATAATTCTGCCTATTCTGCCTACAGCGGTTTTAGCCCCACCCATTCACAGGGAAGTTAGAAGGAGCGTTTCAGCCCGGACTGCTATATATATATATATATATATATATATATATATATATATATATATATATATATATACATACATAGATATGTGTGTGTGTGTGTGTGTGCGTGTATATACATGTATGTGTATATATATATATATATATATATATATATATATATATATATGTATATATATTGTGTTATATATTTTATATATATATATGTATATGTGTACATATGTGTGTGTTTGTACACACGCAATACCTTTTAACATGGATGTTGTTTCACCTATAAAGAAAATGGTTTGTGTACAAAATGTGGACTAAAGCCAGTGAGAGAGAAAGTAGTTTCTTTTGGTTCCTGAGGTTAAAAAGTGTCGGTAGAGAGATATTTGATTTGCTTTGGTATCATTAGGTTAAAAAAATAACATGGGAGCAAATTTCCGCCGAAAAAAAAAAAAAATTAGGTCACAATAATAACTTGGTACAATAATACTAACTCATAATTATGACATAGTAAGTCATTAAGAGATGCTAATTCAAAATTATGACGTAAGTCATTATTAAGTCATAATTATTAGACAATAAGTAATAATTTGAGAAACTAACTCATAATTACGACATAGTAAGTCATTATTATGAGGAGGCAAGTCATAATTATGAGAAAATAGGTCATTATTATGAGATGCTAAGTCATAGTTATGACATAGAAAGTCATTATCAAGAGAAAGTAAGTCGTAATTATAACTGTGAGAAAGTAAGTCAAGATTATGAGACATCAAGCCATAATTATGAGAACATACGTCATTATTATGAGATGCTTAGTCCTAATTATGACAGAGTAACTCGTAATTATGAGAAAGTAAGTTACGATTGCGACTCTAAGCCATAATGATGAGAATATAAGGCATTATTGTGACAGAGTAACTCATTATTATGAGAAAGTAAGCCACAATCATGAGAAAAATATCATGACATAAAAAGTCATGACATCGTGACATAGTAAGTCATTATATAGGGTAATAAAGTCATAATTATGAGATGCTATGTCACAATGATTATTAAATGTTTTTTTTTTTTTAATTTCCAGTGGCGGAAGGCTGTGCAGGACCGCAGCCGCGTTCCTTTCATAAGACTACGTTTCCCACCATTCCCGAGCGGAGCCGTGACGTCACATTCCCCGCATTCTCTCGCCCGGTCGTGTCTGAGTAACGCAGCCTGAGCGTTTCCCCTCTCCTTCCTCGCACAGACACGCTCCCCTACCCCGAAAACCCGAGAAACACCCCCATGACACGGCGGATTTAAGCCCGCGAGGCCGTCCCGGATCCCCTCCGCCAGCCTGAGTCCACATTTAGGGTGAGTTTTATTGTGTTTATCTGAAAAACCTTCAGCGTTTGTCCGGTAAACAGTGCGCCTTAGTTAGCCGCCTGCCTGCCTGCCTGCCTGTCAGTAGCGTTAACGGCTGCTTAGCCTGCACTTTTCCTTCCCTTCGTCCACTTTGTGTCCACGAATCCGCTTTCTTTGTGCCTGAACTCGCCCCCAGATTGGAAACGGATGCATAAATAAATCAGAAATGATGACGCTGAGCTGTTTTTGTGCTGTAAACCTGTTGGGTCCGCTCTGCTCTGCTGTGTGTGTGGAGGCTGCTGCTATCGCACTGGTTCATGATAATGAACACTGACTGGCTTTAACTAAGTTGGGCTGCAAAGCTAGGGCAGGTCGTAAACCCCGTTAGGTTAACCTGACATTTTAGAGCCTTAACTGCTCCAACACCCCCATTTCAACCTCATTTGTCCATAACGGCCCAGCATTTCTCATTCCTGCTCATTGAGATTCACACAATCCCAATGCAGTTGACATTTTAGTGGTTTAACCGCTTATCAATAACTTAATTGGCACTATAATTAATGCACCATTTCTTCTAAGTCCGTATGCGTTTTAGATTTTAAAGTCTGGCCAGCTTAGATCCACTTTTTAAACGTCAAAAACGGCTCATTTTGGTTTATTTTAACTTCAAATGGCTGGTTCATTGTTGTTGTTATTATTATTATTATTATTACTATTATTATTATTATTATTATTATTATTATTATTATTATTATTATTATTATTTCTAATGCAGCAATACATCTTATAGAGGGACCAGACTGTTTTTAGACATATAAGTGCTTTCCCAGCTTTCCCAAAACACATAATTCAGCCCATGAGGCTAAAATATGCGATATATATTGTGCTAAAGCAGGAAAACAGTCCACTGCATGGGTCATTCAGGGGGTATTTGAGGTGGTGCTGGGTGGGGAAGCACTGCTGTGGACTGTAAACACTGGATCTGCTTTAGCTTTAGCCACCTAGCATGTCCTAAATGCTGTGTCAAGCTTATTGAAATGCAGGTGACCAGGCTTAGTGCTTAGTGCTAACTCAGGCAGCTCTGCAATACTGCACGGCCCGCGTGAATCAATCACTTAACCAATCAATCAATCAGATTCAGTCAGCAGCAGGACAATGCGTTCAACCCCCCAAACGCAAAGCCTTAGTTAGAGTTTAACTTTAGGCTTTGGTCAAGCTTGACCCGGTGTATGTGCAGTTGGTGGAGGGCTGTGGGGCTGTGGGGCTGTAGCGTAGCGCGGTTGCATCACCTTTGGTAAACGGCGCCTGAGCACTGCAGGCCGGGCAGAGCTGAGCTCTGACCCGCGGCGCTCCGGCTGGACGCTAAACCCTTTAGCTGTGCTGAGATGTCTGTGGCTAACAGGCTAACAGGGGAATCTGCTCTACAGATGTTCAGATGGAAGCTAAGCTACAGTCCCAGCCACGTTGAGACAAGGGCGGGTGTTCCAGCACATGATTTCATTTAAAGCTGTAGTCGCTCAGCTCAGCTCAGAGACCTCACTGTATTTATTTCTATGAGATCTGAGCTAAATGGACCTGCTATTAGCTGGAAGTGTCACAGTTTGTTGTATATAAATATATATGTGTACCGATCAGGCATAACATTCTGACCACCTCCTTGTTTCTACGCTCATTGTCCATTTTATCAGCTCCACTTACTATATAGGTGCACTTTGTAGTTCTACAGTTACAGACTGTAGTCCATCTGTTTCTCTGCATACTTTGTTAGCCCCCTTTTACCCTGTTCTTCAGTGGTCCGGACCCCCATGGACCCTCACAGAGCAGGTACTATTTGGGTGGTGGATCATTCTCAGCACTGCAGTAACACTGACGTGGTGGTGGCGTGTTAGTGTGTGTTGTGCTGGTCTGAGTGGATCAGACACAGCAGTGCTGCTGGAGTTTTTAAACACTGTGTCCACTCACTGTCCACTCTATTAGACACTCCTACCTTGTCGGTTCACCTTGTAGATGTAAAGTCAGAGACGATAGCTCATCTGCTGCTGCACAGTTTGTGTTTGTCATCCTCTAGTCCTTCATCAGTGGTCACAGGACGCTGCCCACAGGACGCTGTTGGCTGGATGTTTTTGGTTAATGGACTATTCTCAGTCCAGCAGTGACACTGAGGTGTTTAAAAACACCAGCAGCACTGCTGTGTCTGATCCACTGAATGATGGCGCACGCACAGTGGGGAAAAAAAAGCACATGAATTCCGATCTGAGCGTCACATTAAGGTCACATGGCCACGAATCAGATACGTATCCAATCTAGGACCACATGTGAAAGTGGCTCAGGTTGGATTTGAAAAGATCAGATTTGCGTGTCCACACATTCTGAAAACATCAGATCTGAGTCACATTAGGGCAAAAAATTGGATTTGTGCCACTTTAACCTGGTAATGTGAACGTAGCCTTAGAGGCCTAAACACTCAAAGGTCCATTTGCATGCTGAAATAGTTCTTCGGATTGCTGGAGAAGGTGTTGAAAATGGTTCTGTATAGCACCAATAGAGTTCTTAAGGACGTCAAAACAATAGCCTAACCCATTTTGGTGCTACGTAGAACCATTTTCAGAAATATACACACATTCTCTGTCAATCTGAAGAGCCATGTCACCATGCAAAGAACCATTTCAGTGTGCAAATAGATCTTTGAGTGTATATGGTTCTATAGAACCGTTGTCTTTACTAAAGAACCGTTGAAGAACCATCTTCTTTAAGAGTGCACAATGAACCATTTCACGTCAAACCAGTCCGAATGACTTTGTTTACATCTCAACAATTGAATTGTATGGAAATTTAGAAAATTTGGAGGGGTGCTCCTTTAAGGTTAGGTCTGGGTTAAGTGGAGCGCAGCAGCATTAATGCAGAAAAACACAGAAACACCCCAGAAAGACAGGAATACAGTGTCTGTTCTACACACAGAGGCTGGAGTTTTGCCCTCGGGCTCACGTTATCTGCTTCTGACGGTCAGGACAGCCGATCTTCACTGAATTCAATAGACTCGTGGCCTCTGTGCATTTCCAGCCTGATTGAACTGAGTGGTGCATGAAATAAGGTCGAAGTCGTCGCCTTATTGAAGAGATGATGATGCTTGTCAGTGACAGTGGGGGGTGTGTAGTTTTACTCAGTTCTGATTCTATCAAATCAGACTTGGACTGACCCCACACGTCCACTTTTACTGGCCCTGCTAGCCTTAATGTTACTCTGGGTTAACCCTTTAACATGCCAGGTTTATTTCACACAAAGCCTTTTTATTCAGTAACTACAGGGACTTCAATGCAAACTAATGGAGCTTTTCTAAGCTTATAGAAGTGTGAAATAAAACGTTAGGCCCACCGGCAGATCCATGGCTTGTTAAGGAGTTAATAAAAGTGTTGTGTTTGAAAGATTTGCTGGGCGAAATCACGGAAAAATGTTTCTCTGCAATCTTAGTTTTAAAAATTTCTTCATAATTAAATGGTTAGAATGTAAACGAAGTCCTTCAGAGTGGTTTGGTGCAAAATGCTCCGTTCTAGAGACACATAGCAAGTCACAATTGTTACAGTGGTGGTGATAGGAACCAGACGTCTGAAGAGTTCAATGCATCTTAAAGCTCCTTCACAGAAAGTTATTACGTGAAATGGTTATGAATGCACTGCCTGATGTCTGAGACGTTGTTTAATGACAGTTTTGAGAAGGCTTTGGCCCAATATGGTGGGGACATGTGAATAATAGCAAAATAGTCCCAGCAGAAGATGTATTTTTTCACTTTTATCACTATTTTACTATCATATAAGACTCAGAAGACTCGTGTAGGTTCACTGGGGGTTTTGGATAGTAAATAAAATGGCTATATCTGTGTTGTAGCCATGGTGACCCCTGGTTCCTATCACCACCACTGTAAATAAATCTGAGCCACCACAGTCAACCATTTCACATCAAACCACTCTGAATGACCCTGTTTACATCTCAGTGATTGAATTATGCAGCAGTGTTGATAATCAGTGATGTTCCCTTTTAAAAACAAAGATATCTAGAAGGATTCTTTGGAGCAGTACCTTAGAAGAACCACCTTGAAGAAGTTTTTAAAGTACAGAGAACCTTTACATAGTGTAAATTAAAGGTCCATGTTAAGAACCATTCAAGAACCTTTATTTTGACAGTGAAGTGGTCTTTATCTGGGTGATTTCACTCTTATTTGACTGAATTTCTTCAGTGTGAGGAGCTGTTGAAGTGCATGTGTGGAGTCTTTAGGTTAATGATTGTATCAGTAAGAAGACGTAATTATTTATGAACAGAATAAAAATATGAAAGATTTATGCAGCACTGCTACGACTAGATCGAGGTCACCTTAATACATGATGCAGAGTAACAGTGACACAGTTTGTGGCTCTACAGAACAATGAAAATAGGTTTAACTAATGTCATCATAATTTTTGTTTACGTAGCACTTTTTCCAAGATCAAAGAGGTTTGGCAACTAGAAGTGGCAAGATATCACTTTTTTTTAACATCGATATTGAAATCTTGTATGTTCATCACCTGATCCAGTGTTTATCCAGCATTAGTGCTGCAGCAAACAACTAATTTGATGGTCGAATAATCTGTCGATTACTGAAACGATTAATCAGTTATTCGGATTCTGAATCACTTTTCCAAATAACACTTCCGTAACTATCAGCTTTTAAATCTAAATAAATAAAAATCCGATATCTTTTTCCTGTCAAAATTTAAAACAAAGGATGTGCAAAGTCGCAGTAATAACACATAGCAAAACAGAATCAGTTTTCCTTTAATCAAGTAAATAAAAAATCAATCTGAATTTAGGTTTTAAATATAAACTGTGCTCTGCTCTGCTGTCTGTCTGCACTCTGTTGCAACTAAATTCTACAACCACAAATCTTTATTGAAACTAGGGCAGCAACAAACGACTAATTTGGTAGTGGAATAATCGATCGATTACTGAAACGAATAATCAATTATTCGGATTATGAA